TTTTTCTCTTTTGAATAGTGTGTAGATGTTGTTTATCTTTATGTGCCTGTTGATGGCTGCTTGTCTGAATACCAAGCTTCCAAGAATTGCCTTGCATTTTTGGATTTACCTTGGTCTAAGATGCTGACAGTTTCCCAGTTGAAACTATGGTTGAGTCTGTCCATGTGTAGTGAGATTAAGGAGTTTTCATCATGTCTTCTGACCCCAAGGACTTCACAGTTCAACCCTGAGCTACACATATTCTCTTCTATTGGAATCACTTTCTGGGTTTGCATACATTAGATATGTACTGTATTTAGAAATGACTGAACTTCCTCGCTAAGAGTTATTTTAAAGAAAGAAAAAAGATTCTATCTTTAATAACAATCCCAGTTATCAGCTGGAATGATTTACATACTTAACACAAAAACAAAGAAACCTCAAAGTAGATTAAAGTCAAGGCATACCTGCTCATTATTTTTTGTCTAGAAAAAGTTCTTCCATTTGTAACTCCTATCTTCTATCTATAAACAGCCATTTTCCTGGCCAAAGTATTGCCGCGTACTACATGGAGGTTGGGCTAAAGCTAATCTGTGTACATCAATAACTGCACCTCAGTTATTCCCAGCAAGGAACTTGTTTGGTGCTGCATACACCCTTGGTGTTGTTTGATTTTCAACTTCAGGTTAAGTAAGGGCCTTGAACTGATTTTAGCCATTGTCATTTTCTGAACCTACAAAGAACTTGCAGAGGTTATATAAATTACAGTATAGTTTGAACTATTTTTTTTTCCTGAAGTAAAAAAGTCATTCGTATTCTGTTGTATCCCTAGACTGCCTTTTGTAGGTATTATAGTAAGTGCTGGTGCTATTGGTAGAAGAATTGTTATGTGCAAGTGTGGCCTTTAGATGATTATCTCATGTTTCATTAGAGAGCTAGCTGGTGTGAAACAAGTATGTTGTGCAGGGACTGAAGAACGGGAGTTTCCTATACCTGGTTTCAAAGAAGACATGTGGCAAAAAGCTTTGTAGGAGTGTGCAGTTCTCTCTGTTGTGATTTGATAATTTTGCTGACCCTCTGGTAATGCTAGTTTTGTTCTTTGTACAGAGTCAAGTTTCAGTGGCATTTATTCTTGTCTACTCATATTTAATAGCTAATAAGACTTCTGTCTACTACATGCTCTCTATCCTTCTTAAGCTTCTGATTCCTGTGATTGAACAGTTACAGTGATAATTTCAGTATTTGTCGAGTAGTAGGGAAGATGATAGATTTTCCATTTTTAAGGGTGCAGCTTTCACACTTTCAGTACATCTGTGCCGACTTTTTTAAAGCTGCAGTGATTTATTTCCCATTTTAAGTTCAGCCATCGCATCCTCCTCTAATATTGACACTTTGGTATTAGACTACTGCTGCTCCTCGTGCTTTTGCCTCCATTCTAGGAAGAAAAGTAGAGATTCTGTTCTACTAAAAAGGGGTATGTGAAGGATATTGCCTGTTAAAATGTACCCAACTGTTTCTGCTGAGGAAAATAAAAACTGTTACAGTCATAACTGTCTGCAGTGCCACTTCTCAAGCTTTTAAGGCAAACAATAATAAACTATGCCTGGCTTACTCTGTGCTAATTTAATATTGAACTACCAGGTCCGTGGAAATGTTATAGTGATAGAGACATATGTGGTTCTAGGCTTATCAGCAAACTGATGCACATTTCTGGTGCAAATGTACCCTCCCATGGTTGCCTATAATAATCGTAGCACGGTCTTCTCTTTGTGAATATTATTCACCAATACTGTTGCTGGCAACCTCCCCTGTTTTAGCTCAAGAGAACGTCATGGTGCCTTTTACACTATAATTTGTCCATTACAAGTTGCTCTCTAGTTATAAATTAAGAAATACATGGGCATGTTTCACTTTTGGGAACAGTTTGTACTCATCAGACATGTGAAGACATGGCACACGTCTTTATCTTTTTACTTTTGTTTTATTCTTGTTTCAGTGAAACATCTTCTGATGTATACTAGCCATCAGATGGGAGGTCTAGGAAGCTCTGATTCTTTGGAAGAGCTATTTTCTCTGAGATTATTCTCTTGAAGTTCTATTCATTAAAAGATTTAGGATCCAATCTAGCTTTTTCCATAGAATTTAAAATATTTAGTTTTCAGCTGTTTTGCTGACTTACTAATAATTTACAATTTCATCACTTTGTAAAATTAGTTTTGGCTAGCAGAAGACTCCTAGCAACTCAAATGGGAGTCCCATTCCCATGTTTAGATCCATTTAGGCATCACAAGAGCAGTAAACACGGCTTCATTTGAATTTCAGTTAAAGATGATTGGCTGAAACCATGGAGCATGAATAAAGGAAATGGCTGAAGAAATGCTCCTACAAGGAAGTTCTATGAGAGTTCTTGGGAGGTTCAGTGGTGCCTTGGCCTGTTTCTCTGTTCAGCACCTCTCCTTTGCTTTTCCTTCCTGTGCATTCTGAGCTCGGCATCTCAGCGCATTGCTTAGTATGTGAAAGCTTGCAGTTGTTTTTGTATGCATCTGTGCATAACAGATGTCACTATCAGACTTGAAGGACTTTAAAATAGCTCAGTAAAGAAGGGGGATGGGGAATTGTCTTCCAGTGCAAGAATTAAGGTATATTTCTGTTTGGGGTGATCACCCCAGATTTTCCTTTCATCTACAGTCTCTTGGTTCAAAGGAAGCTGTCTTTCATATTCGAATTGTGTTCTTTTGTCATGAACTGATCACTTTCCTACTTTTCTTAATGCTTTCAACGATTTTCTCTCACAGTTGGAACAGGCCTTTAACCTCCCAGCATACTTACCAGTGGTAGAGAAGGGATTAATTCATTGCCTGAGGTTCAGGGAACATTGCCCACATCCTTAGGAACATTTTAGAGGGAAATCCTTTGCTGCTGTCTAGTCCTGCAGAGCTCAAATGATTAGCTGGTAAAGAAAAAACAAACAAAAACACTTGAGCTTAGCACCGCTGGTGACTTGGACCTGCAGAGTCATATGTATCTGAATCTGATATCTGCCTCCTTCCTGGACAGAGATATTTTATCCTGTCCCCTCATCACCACTTCTTTGAGTGGAAAGTGGAAGGCTTGACATTCATAACTACTCATTCATATAACAAAGAAGTGAAGCACATGCTGGAGAGCATGCCCCATCCTGGGGGAAAGCAACTGTTTTCTCAGAACTGATGAGTGTTTTCTGTCCTTTAAAGGGATTGATTCAGATACTGCATAGCTGTTTGGAAAATGCAATTTTTTTTTTTTTTTTTTTTTTTTAGTAGGGCAGTTTTATTTGTGTGGGTCAGTTTTCCCGCACCCACTAGAAAACAAACAACTCTGCTTCCAGTTCTGCTGCTCAAGAGTGGAACCTTTAAGTGCCATTCCTAAAAGAGTTAACCAAGCAAGTGTAGCAGCGGTGGAGCCACGAGAAGCTGATGATGCAAACGTGAGGAAAGGGAAGAGTGGAAATGAAGCAGAGAAGCCAAGGTGAGGAGAGAACAGGGAGATATAAATAACTTGGGTGCTTAGCTGGGGAGTGACTTTCTGTCTTGGTTTGTCCGGCCCTGGTACTGCTGGCATCGGCTCTCTGGGGGAAAGCTGCAGTTCTGCAGTTAAAACACAAGGAGCAGTCTGGAGAATTTTGAGCTGCGTCACACAGCTCAGAGGGAGAGAGTGAGAGCCAGCTCTGTCGATAGGTCTACTAGCAACAGCCTACTGCAGCAAGAGACACAGAGAGAGAGAGCATGCAAGAGAAGTAATAACAACATTGGGAAGCATGGTTCCTTTTCCATCCAGCATGTTTTTTTCTTTAAAGAAACATTATTTGGGAACTTGTTGAGGATCAGTGGATTTTGTCCACTGACGGTACCGGAAAGATGCGACGCAATTAATCCCGCAAAGGTGGGGGGGCAGATATAGGAAGGGTTAATGGGAGGAAAATTCTGGAATGTTCTGTGCTGCGGCAGAGCGAACAGAGGGTTGAGGACTGCACAGGTGTAGATGAACAGATCTCATGGTTCCTCTTTTAAATACGTACGTATTTTTTTTATCGTAGTGGGGGGGGAGTTGAACTGACTGTCTCACTTTGTATGTGTGTGGCTAGAGGTATCTTTCTGCCCTCCCATCCCTCAAACTTTTCATCCAGTATTATTTTCCTGCGGCTAAATGTTGTTACTGTGTCCTGCATCAGACCAATGGAATGAAGGCACAGGTTGTAAAATGTCAGTGCATAGCTAGCTATAATGCAGAGTCAAGAAGGGAGGAAGGGAAAGAGAACAGTAGCTTTGCAGAGGATACCACCTAACACCCCTTCCCCAATTTCCTTTGCTCACTTTTAACACTTAGTAAATCAAGAAGTTGGCAGAGGGGTTTATCAAAACAAAAAAGATTTTTAAAGCTGAGAATCTGTATCTGCATAGTTCAGAAAGTGGCAAATGGACAAATGATGACGCAGTGATCTTTGCTTGGCATGTTGTTAGGCTTAAAAAGCATTGGTGGGGGGCAGAGGGGACAGGTACATTGTGAATCCCCAGACCAGCTGACAGGGGGTGAGTTAAGAAGGGAAGATTGCATTTAGGAATTAAATGTCATCATTTTGGCGTCGGAAAGTTGTTTACCTTGCTCTCTGCGTGTCTCCATGTTGGCAGCCTTCCAGCTCACATGTGATAGTCTTCCCTGTACTGCTGCATCATTAACCGAGTGCCTGAGCTTGCACATGATTGGCTGGGGAGGGCTTTCACTCTAAACACAGATTTCCATTGGAGGGAGAAGCAGTGGCAGGTGAAATGCTATCTGAGATTGGTTAGAGCCAGAATATCAAATCTAAATGTTCCATTCCAATTGCTTTAAAAGGGGTTCTGAACAGTTTGTGACTTAAAATGTTGGTTATTTGCTTTTATTCCCCACCCACTCCTCTGCTTCATAGCAGGCAGTTTGGAATGTGTCTGTATTCTCAGAGCTGGTCTTTTAAAGAGAAAAGCAAAAAGCAGGAGCTTGTCTATTGTAGGTTAGTTTAGTTTATTACTGGTGCAAGTGACGCAGAAGGAAAAACAAATATTCTGTGACTCGAGTTGCATCAGTGACAGGCATATTTCCGGCTGCTGTGAGACAAGCCACGATGACGTGACATTATTATAGGCTTCAGAGGAGACAACAAAAAGAGACTTTGGTGGGTGTCTTTCTCTGCCTTTGTGTCAGTAAACTCCTAACTAGACTAAGCAGTTTTATTCTGTTATAAACTCTTGAGGGTAGAGATATTGCTTGTTAGAGCAGTATCTGTAAAACGCTGGACAGACCTTAGAACAAAAATGTGTCTTAGGTTACAACACTGTGAATCGAAAGTCAGTGCTGGATTGAATGACAGCAGAATATAGTGGTAAGAAATATAAAGTTTACTTTCTGTCTTTTTATTTTGCTTTTAAATGAGACAGTTGCAGGTACTAAGATGGTGGAAGGATAGTTGGGCAGTTGCGAAGAATATGCCAGATCAGGCAGGGGGTGTCGGAAACCTGTCGTATAGGATGCACATCTAATTAGATGTGATACTTTAATCATTTCAGATCTACCATATTTTCTCTTCTAGCCTGTCCCAAAGTCAATTCCAAATACATAATTATTGTGGAGGATGAGGTCTATGTTCTTTTTTTCTTTTGGAATTTACAATGAAATCCTAAGCAACAAGCATTATCACAGAGCACGGGGGACTATTTCCTGTGGCACATTCTCATGAAGTGTTCCAGTAAACTGAAGGGTTTATGTTGATACAAGAATCTCTGTGGGTGACTCACTGGCATTGAGAGAGTCAAGTATAGCCAGTTGTTCAGCAGCAGTTCTGGCTTTGGAACCAGATCAGTTATATTTTGATTCGCCATCTTGATTCTTCTAGAGTACTCCCGTCTTCTCGAGCATTGTTTCAAGATGTTTATTGCTTGCAGGCTTTAAAAGCCCCAGGAAGAATGAATAAGCATAGTCTGCTATTCAGAAGGAAGGAGAAATAACCAGGAAGCCATATCTGGAAATGGACGTGATGCGTGAAAGGATGAAGATGAATAGATCTGACAAATACCTCCCTCCTCTATTGCTCCCTTATACGTAACTTCATCTTTCCTTTCTCTTCTCCATTGTCAAGTGTTATGCGTAATTTGAAATTCTTTCACTGGAGGTGCACCACCTTCTGTTTCTCCTTCCCCACTGAGAGTCCTTGCTCTGCAAAACTGTCTCCTCTGGAGGCAGTCTTGCATCCTGCGGTGCCAATTCTGCAGAGGAGGGCAGCCAGAGGTCCATCTGTGATGACTGCTTCGGTGCGGGGATACACTCAGGCTGAGATTTGTCTTCTTGTGTCACGAGCAGGAAAAGTGAGTAGGCTGGTAGAAGTTGGGTTACTTTCATTTTGACTGATGCCATCTAAACAAACATAGCTTGCGTTTTCTAGATACAGCCACTAGGGATTGTACATCGGGAGGGGGTTGTTCATTTGCTTTTTCTTGAGACATGGTGCTCTGTAATGGCATACCTTAAATATTTTAAGAGTAACTTGGATTTGTACAAGAGAAAGATTGATAGTACATAATTTTTCTTGATTCTCCCAAACAAGTGCATTTTCTCACCCAAGGATTGAGGGCTGAGATTGTGTCTGTGTGTCAGACTGAGAGCTTATTTTATTATGTTTGTAAATCTGAATGAAATTCTTAAACACTTGCTGCTTTAATAAATAATCGTTCACGTAAAGATACTTTAATATATGAAAACTAAAGCTATGGCAAGTGAAAAGGCATCAGTTTTGCTGTACTGTTGGGGAAAGATTTGACAGTTCAGCCCATATGTCTCAAGTTAACAATACAAGTGTACCAGAGGCTTGTATCAGAACTCATCTGCAGGTGGTTTTGAGACTTCTGGTGCTGTCCAGAAGCCAGAAGATTTGGCTTTAGTAATTCGCTCAGCTTTGTGACCTTGGGCTAATTTGCCACTTTCTGCTTTTCTCTGTCATCCGCAAAGTGGGCATGATAAGATCTGCGTCACAGGAATGTTGAGACTTCAGTTTGTTTTTTAATCAGAACCATGGAATCTTTCCTGAAATGAAAGGGCTTCCTAATAACATAGGATTATGCTTTTATATTAGGATTCCATAGTATGGATGAAATTTACCAAGGCCCTGCAATAAACCATACTGTGTGTCCGTAGCTACTGCTATTTTTATTTTTTATTTTTTTTGTAGCGCCATTTTGGCAAACAGATGGACCCAATTCTTAACTGGACATTTTTGCTAGTGATTGATTGTGACGCATCTGAGTTTGACTCTACTATTTCTTTAACAAGGTAAAAGATACTAACAAAAAACAGTTTGTGGGGAGGAGAGAAAAAATATATATCAAAACTTGTGTTCTTAATCAGGAATGTTTTGGTATCAGCATGTATTGCTTTCACTCATGCTAATAGCAGGAGAATATATAGTTGGAGGAAATGATGACTCCCCTGTCCATTTTGTTGCTGGTGGAATATATTCAGAGCCTGTGGTAGTGTTGCTGTTAATTTCTGTCTCATACAAAAACAGTCTTGGATTTGTATCAGGAAGATACTTGCTATTGTTGGGAGGAGAATAATTTTCTTGAGGTATTTTCTCTTCTTGGCTTTTATGTTTTTTATTTTTAAAGAGCTCATGGGATAACATTTGATTATAAACTTGATGTCTCCCTTTGATTCCCCTCATCCCTTCCCAAATAGAGTACAGACTTAAAATACAGTCATATTTTGCATTTGTCTTGCACCAGGTAGTCATTTGTATTGATTTGGGTGTGCTAACTCTGTCTACCATTTCCCCCCACAACTTGAAAAAATAAGAGTTTGATGGAAATATTACGTTGCATTTATAGTTGGGGGGAAAATGTTTGCTAGAGTAGCACATATCAAACTTAAGTTTCTGTCAGAAGATAGAATAGAGAGTTGTGGTTTCCTCTACCCCTCCCCCCATAATTAGGCTTTTAAATATTTCTTCTTAAATTAAACATTTTACTGTGCCTTTACAAAACCGTATTTTTTAGAATAAGCGTTTTGTATTTCAGAACTGCTTGAAGAAGAGAAACAATACCATACAGCTTTCTGGGTAGCCATTTTGCTGCATCACCATCTGCTATTACCATATTCCAAGAATCCCAAATTGTATTTACTTGTAGTTCCGAGGCATAATCCCCAGGACCGAGTTACCTACTCGGTTACTTGTCTTTTCTCTGTAATAGACTGTGCATAAATACAAATTCAATTGCCTGTGAAGCCCTAAATTATAGCCAGAATTAAACTTGGTTTGTTTGGGTTTTTTTTACCAAACTCTGTTGTCTGGTAATCTAAGATTTACTTTTATCTTCTTACCTATCTGTATTAATAATCTTACTTTCTTTTTCAGCACTGTATGTTCATTTGCCTGAGAGATCAATAAATTGTTCTCCAGATGTAAATACTCTCACTGAAATTATTTATTTGCATCACATTAGAACATCTGGCTTGATATTCATTAGTGTGTGTCATTAGTGAAGCCAAGATGGTGGGCAGCTTCGTAGTTGCTAGCACTCTGAATGAGCAATAATCTAGCATGAAAGCAAGACTTCTAGATTACATACCATAATTTTGAATACAAATAGGAAAAATAAGTATTTTCTTTTTGGAAAAAAGAAAGGCAAAAAGGAAGACGGTGTGGAATAGACAGTTGCCCCTATTTCACAAACGTATGCAGATTGGGCCTATTTGTATTTCTGTCACTGTTCATTGTTACGAATCTCCTGCTTTACTCTGGCTGCTTTTGTCATATGTAGTGGTGTATGGTACTTGCCTGTATTTGTACTCACTTGTATTTCATGTTGAATTTCCCATATTATTTCTCTGAAGAAGCAGGTAGATTCCTCACTCTGGGAGAATTTATTTTCCACTACATTCATTGCTATGAACTATTTTTCATGGCCTTTGCAAATCAAGGAGGCTAGATTTCTTCCTTCTGTTGCTCTTTTATGGTTATTGATGGCAACATTTTCTTTATAGTCCTAGTGTATGTGTTAAAAATTGATCTTGCAGCGCACTAATAGATTAACATCTCTAATCTGAATACACCACAGCATCGTTCCTGTGTTGGTTTCTCAGAATAGTGTCAGGCAACTTTGGTTTTTATATTTGGATTAAACAAGAAGCATATAAATTATAATGGTTCTTTGTTTTTGCCTTGGATATGCATTAAATTAATATAATACTAAATTGAAATATTGCTTATATTGTTTGTGCTTTTCTTATTCACGGTGTTGGGTTACTTACTCCTAGAATTTATTCAAAACTGAATATTCACTCTAGTTTTAAGAAGAGATAAAAATAATGTATATACTTTACAGATACTCTAGTAATGTCCATTCATTTGTTCTGCAAGGATTTATCTATTATACATGTTCTGGCCCCAGTCCAGACATCTATAAACACTGTTGTCAACTACATGCCCTGGACTTAGAAAGTCATCCTTTTCTTCCTTGAACTGAGATTTGTGTCTCAGAAGAGGAATCCTGTTATTATTTTATTTGGCAAAGGGAGGACTCTGTAAATGCTGTTGATATTGCAGATGGGTTGATTGGAAAATAAGTTGCTCATTGTTGGAGGGGGGAGCGAAAACATATGTAGTTCAATTAATTTATATATAAATCAGACTAGTGTATTTTGGCTGGGATCCAAAGTCTTATTTCTGTATGCTCAAGTTACTTGTACCTAGTGATTTATCCCC